CTCTCTCTCTCTCTCTCTCTCTCTCTCTCTCTCTCTCTCTCTCTCTCTCTCTTACTCAACCATTGCTTGTTTTTGGGCTTTGCAATCAAATCAATATCGACAGAGAAAGAAAAAAAAATCGAATCGAAAGTAACCAAATAAATTGCTCTCATGGTCACTGATTATTGAATTTTCGGTTTATTCAATATTTAGAGCATCCATTTCATTTTATTCAATGATTCATTAAGAAAATCGGTTGTGTGCTGCACACAGCCCGCAATAAAAAGATAATTTACAAAAAAGTGACTAGAACAAAGCAACACACAGCAGCGAAACAAAGACTCGCAAAACAAAAACTAATGGAAAATGTTGATGAAATTTTTTATTTCATTGTCGCATCAATTTCCGATCGCTTTTAAGCGAATTTTGTTCTGTATTTTTCTGTCGTTAGATGTTTTTTGTCACTGACGACTCTTTGTGAGCTTCATCGTTCAATATACCCATACACTTTGGTCAACGTTTAATCCACTTTAAATGTTATTAATGTTTACTTTTATTTGACGATAATTTTGCTATGTCCACCGTCACTCTTCGACTCCATATCATGCACGTTCATTTCCATTTTTGTTATTGTTGCTGTTTATTCAATACATATGCTACTTTTTCCTGGAAAATAGTATGTGTCTGACTTGACTGGTGTTCATAAGTCATTCATGATGTGACATGAACACACACAAACACACTTTGTACTGTATCGCGTAGATTAACTTATATAGTATAAAAATGTCAATGATATTATGATGTTTTAATCCTTATAATCCGTCCATTTCGTATCGAGCGCCCATGTTTTTCTGATTATTTATTTAAGGCATGAAATTTAATTTGTCTATAGCAAAATTGGAGTTGTTATACTTGTGAGTGACTGAGGTGAAAATTTAATGACATAGCTGCAACGTTTTTGTTTATTTTTTTTTTCATCCCCCATCGGCGCTTTGTTTCGACAGCTGGAACATAGATTACATTTCTTTACAAATATCGAAAATTGGATTTTCCCATCTGATTCGTCTTCGTCGTCTTGATTTTC